ACTCGAAACGGAAGTTGAAACTAGTAAAAAGCAATTCAAGAAAGAAAAGGCAGAATTGGAAAAAAGCTTGAAGAAATCCGAAGCGGCCACCATGTTTGGACTTAGAAGGACCGAGGATATGAGTATTAAGATTTATCAAATGCAGAAAGAGATGGAGTCCATTGATAGAAAGTATCAAAAAGAAATACAGATGTACAAAGACGCTTTTGAACGTGACAAAGAAGAAAAGTGTCAGATGGGCGACTGGGAAACTCTTGCTTCAGAGAACGATAGTCTGAGATTGGAAATCGAGGAGCTGGATTTGAAAATTGAGGAGATGGAAAGCGCCCACAGTGCTGAGGTTAGCATGCTGAAGCAAAAGCTTGGCGATGAAAAAATACTAAACGTAGAGGATTTGAGATTAAAAATTAAGGGCTTGGAGGATGTGATTGAAGAGCAAAGATTGGAACATGAGAAAGAGTTAGAAGATGTAAAGCAGGAGAGAGATAACTCGCTTCAAGAGGTCAAGCGAAGACACGAAAAAGAACTTGAAGCGTTGAAGCAGGAGCAGCGAGTGTTGAACGGAGCGAGCGCAAAAGCCGCGCTTGTTAATTCATCAGATTTGCGGGAAAAAGAAAAGAAGATTAAAGATCTGGAGTTTAAGGTCGAAGAACTAGAAACTCTTCTCGAAGTTAAGAGAAGAAGACATAAAGAAGAGATCAAAACTCTCCGTCAGAGATTGGATGATGAGCTTCAAAAACACAGCGAAGATGTGCGTTCGCACCGCACTAAGGTGCGAATGTTGGAGCGCCGAAAATCCGAACACTCCATCTCATTAGGATTTAACATGGAGGACGATTATAAGAAAATGTACGATGAACAAAGGTCGGAAAATATCAAGCTGAAGTTCACAGTCGAAAAGCAAAAGAAAGAGTTGGATGAGTTGCGAACTCAATTAGCAGAAGCAGCCCAAGTTGCCGAGGCAGCTAAAACAGCTGCAGCTGTGGAAGAAAAGCCCGAGCCAGTGTTTGAAAGACGAACTCCGCGTGGTAAGCGAACTTCTAAATCTTTGCCTGCTTTTAAATAGTGAACATTTTAAGTTTTGGCCTTGAAATCTATCCATAGTAAAATAAAACCAGTAGGTTGCCCTCGATCGAAGTCTGGTTTGTTTTTTAAAGGGGGCTTTGTAACAAACATGTTGTAGTTTTAGGTCAAATCTGTCCTGAAGTCAGTACTTGGTACCTTTACCGATAAACAAAACACTCCTGTAGCGTTATAAAGAAGAACAAGTTTCATCAGGGAACACTAACCGTAATATTTTTTGTGATTTTTGCAATGATAGCATTAAAACTTGAAGAAGTTAGCGCCCCTTTTTTTCAAGTTTCAATCCATGTCCAACCATCCTTGCTATCCGTTGCAAAAGACTACAGGAAACAGTTTCAATGCCAAAATTTGGTCTGAAATAACAAAACTGAACCATAATCATTGGAATTCATTTAAGGCAAAAAGTTTTAGCATTTTAAAAAGATAGCAGATAGCCCCTTTAACTCACTGTCTTCTCACCTTTTCAGCGGATTCACGCCGTCCTGTGTCGGACTCCTTCGCTGCTGGCTTTTCCTACAGTCGCGGAACCTCGGCTCAGGACACTAATACCAAGGAAACTCTAAGAAAGACCTCGTCAGATGCTGCTACTGTTACTGATCCTGTCTGGAAGAGACCTTCAGGTGGTTCTCTTACAAGACAGACCTCTAGCGATGCTGGAAGAACGAAACCCTTTTTAAGGCAACTTTCCAAAGGGGTCAGTAAATTGGATAAGTTTTATTAGGGAGCCTAGGTAACAACGACGGCAACGGTTACGAAAACGTCTCGGCCGAAATAAGTGTCTTCGCGCTGCTGCAAACTTCATCGCGCTTATTCCGTCTCGTTCAATTTGTCGAATGTAGGCGAATTTTTCTGGAGTTGAATTCTAAAGGACTCTATTAAAGTTCGAATTTTTCTTGTGTTCACTTTAAAAATACAAATCAGTCAGTTTTCTGGCAACGATGGCAAAAAAAAAGAATTAAACTAAAAATAGAACTGTATCAAAGTTCATGCCAGATGCCGTAGCCGCAGGAGGTTCCATGTAATACGGCCACAACTCAGATCAAAATTGCGTAAATTTGAACGCAAAAGAGGGAGGGAGGAAAGGTGCAAAAATCCGCTGATTCTATTTAAACCTGAAACACTGTCACTATAAAACCCCTCATTCGTCAGATTATTTGCCTCACCGTGACTTTCGTGGTTGCTTAAGCTATTTTAACGTTTCATCCACGTACTTAGTCAACATAAATTGAGAAACGTTTGAGAATCATGTTTGAAAATGGCGCCGATAATAAGGTCAGCATCGGTTTTCAAAAGAACCAGTTTAATGGCCTTAACTTTTAAGTATTTCGCTTAACTTTGCAAATTTCACACGTTTGACCGCTGAAAAACATAAAGTATGCACAATGAAGCTATCCGGGGTGTTTATTATTATTTGAGAATACGCGAAAAAAATTAGTTAAATCTCGAACTCGTAGTCGTTCTCGTCCTAGAATCTTAAGGTCTCTAATGATCCGAAACTACTTACGAATCTCCTGTAGCTCAAAGTGGAACTTTTGAACTAGTAACTAGTAGGTTAGAGGTTCGCCTGTGTAGAGAACTCCGATTTCTTTTTATCCGAGTCCCTTGTGCCACTGACTGAAATACAATTCATGTATGGAGGTTCTATTTGAGCTTGAAGAGGTCGTGAATATTTAATTTGTAAGTGTTGGTTTTCATCTGTTTAATAGGTGGAAACGTCAGGCATGGGCTCTGTAGCTGCTCGGGTAGCCATGTATCAAACCGCGGGTAAGTTTCGAATCATTTCAAGAATGGATGTTCTATTGTGCTATATTTGCGTCAAAGTACGTGAGAAAGTCATTACAAAAACCAGTTTGGTAACTTGTAAGATAAGATGCTATAAGGCGTTATACAACAAAATAACAACGAAATTTAAAACAATAGCATTGCGATTTTGTGTTGCTAACGCTGAGACAGGATATGTGATTTTATCGCACCGCTTAACCAGGTGATAACCTTGCTTAGCAGTCAACTGAATGTTTTGAAAAAGAGTGCAGTCATCATCATGGTAATTATATTTATCGAAGATAGATTTCTAGACGTATGTCGAATTTCGCACTATTGTCCTTTCCGATTTCTCAATACCCGCCATGTTTTTTTTTCCAACAGCTACCAAGTTCAAAGGCAAAGATGGACAGGGAAAATAGAACAAACAAAGCCGTGAGTAATATTTACAGGTAAACGCCCATATCCTTGTCTCGTTTCTAAACGTTTTGACTCCGTCATGTCTGTTTAGTTTTGGGATTACCACTCTTGCAAGGGCTCGAAAAACTTTCATAAGTATTGCCACACGTGCATGTTGTTGGCCAGCCTTATCCAACATTTTGGATGCAAAATGCTGGATACGTTGGAACACCTTGTTGAATGGTGCAGCAAGTTGTTGGATCATTGATCAGATTTAAAGGAGTTAAGACTTTTGGGCCCTTTTTGACCCTTCGCCTTTTGGCCCCGAGATTTGGTTTGTGAACAAATAAAGAAGCCTTGACTCTTATGTGCACTGTCCTGTTGTAAAGCAAGCAAGAAGCGGCCAGAGTATGAAAGAAGTGGAGCTGGAAACACGAGACGTAGTCGAGTGGTTATCCCAACTTCTTAAGTGCATTACAACAGAACAGAGAACAGTCAAGGCTTCTATATTTGTTTCCTGATAAAGAATCCGTTAAATTCCCCGCGCGTTACTTTCTAATTGTCAAAACAAACTATTTGCAGATGACGTGGCAGCTTTAGTTCCGGGTTTTATAGTCTCATAAAGCATGCTTTTTCAACCAATCATAGTGCGCGTTATATCTGAACTTAATTATAACAAGCAATAAAGTTGCATCTTCGTTGCTAATATTGATGGTTTGGCTTTTTAGTGGTTCGTCTGATGTTGATATTCTTTTCTTTTTATTTTCAGGCCAGAATGTTTTGTCGTAATAGGAAGTATTTGCGTCCACGTTATATTATTGAAATCCTGTAGTTATGTACAGTTAAAATAAAATGTTTGTAAAACATTTAAAGGTACAGCCGTGTATGTAGTCCCCGACAGTCATGTAATAAAAATTAACGACTTGCGAGCGACGACAGAATGAATTTGTAAAAACCTCGGAGATATTTTCACGTAAGAGTGTTACACACCGAAAATTTGAAAATGGTATTTTTTGTATGGAACTTGGCTATTTTTATAAAAGGATTCTAGTGTATTAGTGTGGCAAGATTCATTTTCGTTGTTTGGTTTCACCGGCGCTTTTTTTAGTGAATAAAATACATTTACCCGTATTTCGTTGTGCCATGTCATTTATGCCTTTCCGCTTATACTTTTGTCTGCGGGGCAATAATTAAGAAGTAAGGAAGCGGGGATAAGACCAGTCCCCTCTCTTTCAGCCCTTTCTTTTAACTCTCGCGTTTTTGTCCCCACTTTCCGTCCCTTTCTACGCCTGCGACGTGGGCCATACAGTGTATACGGTAGGATAATTGTGGCGTTATTTTTGCCACCACCCTATTACCACCCTTTGCCGTCGCGGGTACGGGAAAAGAACGTGGTTTATGAGAGAGATGTTTTTTTCATTCGGTGACGGGCGCCCGGAAGAAAAAATCCGAGTGCTTCTCACCGGAGTCGACCCTATGGCCTTCTGTTATTAGTCTAGATGCTCTACCACTGAGCTACAGGAAACTTGTAGGAGTTAAGATCACCAATCTATTGTAGATTCATGTAACAAACATTCTATACATACTGCTAGGACTGAAATATCGATTTGTGTTTATTTGCGCAATGATAGAAATTTGATGGTGATCTGAATGAATACGTGAGAAAGATGTTGTTTCAGTCAGTAAGTGACACTGGCGGCTCGGAAGAAAAAATCCGAATTCTCCCAATAGGAGTTGAACCTATGACCCTCTGGTTACTAGTCCAGACGCTCTACCACTGAGCTACAGGAGACTCGTGGAAGCTTCTTCCCTCTTTCCCACCCCTTCTTTCTCTTTCTTTCTACCGGTTTCTTCCGTATTAAGAACGGAAGAAGCCGGTCTGGACCCAGCCCGTGGAAAGAGATATTGTTTTGTTTTTCTTTTACTACAGGAAGGAAACTGGTAAAAATCTTTAAGGGTCAATGAAGAATGACCTGAAAGAACAATAACACCCAGATTATAAAACTGGCGCTCGTTGTCGTCGTTGACTCGTAAAAAGACATCGATTGACTTCAGGAATAGGTCAGCATAGAGTAAGGGCTTGTCTTTATTTTTTATTTATCTCTTTTTTTTGATACCTCATTCCTTCGTATTATAGTTTCTCTGCCTTTGCCGTTCAATTAAATTGAAATTAAGTTTATCTTTTGTAATTTAGTAGGGAAAGCACTCGTTGTATAAGCCTCGTGGTTTCTTTGGGCTTTCTTGCCATATTCTAACGAATTTCTGTAATTTATTATTGTGTCATAATAAGGTGGCGAAAATTTTAAAAAGTTGGCTTTTGAATTATTGCCCATCACACACTTTAGGCCCTTTACAGCTCGCAGTCACCTTACCTGCAACAGCAAAATTCATGGAATACAACTTTAAAAACAATACCAGTGTCATAATCTCGTCGTGTTTAAGATTTACTTTCTTCTGATTGCTTTCTGTCTGGCCGGATAAGCACTTGAAACCAGGGGCCTGTTTCTCGATAGAACGCGAGTAGTCGTCCTTCTTTCCCTGTGCTTTCCTCATTTTTCTGCTCTCTTCCGGAGCAGAAAACGTTGAAAAAGTTTTAAAGTCTGTTTTCTCATGTTTGCTGACCTTTTGTTCAATTTTCAATTTTTCTTGGCGTCAATGAACTTCATCAAAGATTTTGATAAATCGTTGTTACAACGTTTCTAGCAGTTTTAACACAGTCTTCGTTGAGCACTGATTGTCCAGGGCCACAGTTCTTTGAAAAAGTGCGATGATCCTTTCCCTTTTTTAAAAACATTTTTTATACATTTTAGCGGTTTAACAAAAGTTTAGTCTTTGAATGGTAGAATTTTAAGCGTTAATTGCATATGAATAAACATCAATAGTATATGTTTTTATTGTTGTACCGAACACAAAGGCCAGTAAAACTTGTGAAAAATAATCCAAAATGCGCATAATCACATCTTGGTAAACTTTGGTAATGTTACTTTGCATGTGCAACACAAGTATTTCTCGAGTTGGAATGAATTTTAATCGAGAAACTGTACAAAAGGAAGACGCTGATCTCGAGTTGATTGAATTGTTGTTTAGACAGCTAACTTACACTGGAAGGACCAAACGGTCGCTGTCATTTCTGGATTGGATCAAATGTCACCACCAGCTAAGATTCGCTTGTGCCTCTTCGAAGATACCAGGTTTGTCCTCAGTTCAACTTATTTTTTTGGCCTATTAAGCCCTAGTTTACATTAATTGCTGGCAATAAACCCAAATTAATCTAGTCGCCGAAACAACCTTACTGGTTTTCCGTAAGTTTAGTTGCCGCGGAAATTTTAAAAAGTTTGAATTCGCGCTCTTTTGCAATTTTAACTTTAATCGTGACGAGCGGGTGCAAAACAGGCTATCGTAGTCTTCGCATATTCATTAGTTTTTGTCAAACTGATAGTGGTGATCAACATCACTGAGCAATCAGATATTAGGAGTTTAAATGGTTCTTGTGCTAGCAATTCCTCAACACTAGTTTTCCTCAACTTTCTTCGCTTTTATCTACCGAGAAGTTTTGAAAGTTTGTATGTTTCTTTCCCGGTACTTTAAAAATTTATTCTGGGTCTAGCTTGTGGTAATTCACACGGCTATAGGCCTTTTTCAAAAATACCATAATACTCTCGAGAGGCCTATTGTACACTCATTCACAAGCCAGTTTTGTCATCGATTTGTCAAGTTTTAATCAAGTCGGCATTTTTTTTTCTGAATGCGTCTAATTCAAGCGTTAGTCAAATCCGAGTGTTGTTTTTCTCAATGTGTTGTGATAAGCGTCCAAATTGCTTTAACGGTTCTTACTGGTTATTTTAGCTGCAGAAAGAAATTATTCTTTTAGACTTTACATACAGGATTTTCTGTCATAATTCTGTTCTCTGTGTGTTGTTCAATGTGTCGCCAGAAGTTACCTGTAAACATGCATGGTCCCTTTGTTAGGTTGGCTCGTTAAGTGTTGAACTGGAGTCAACAAGATAAACGCGAGTTGCGATTGTTACGGTCAAATAGGCCGATTTTGTTGATGTAAATGTAGTTAAAATTTTTCGCTTTGATTAAAGAAGTGTTCTCTTCGGTATACTACACTGATAAAGTAAACTTCAAACGTTGGACAGTTTAATTTTTTATTACTCTGACTCAGAGTTTTAAATTAGATCAACCGCGACCTTATTAATTAATGTACGATTTAAAGATAAATTATGTTTTTATGCCGCACAAACGGGTTGCCAACAAACAAACTGTTGGCAATTTTGGCATAGAGTGCTTAGCTTGCACCGGGAGAGAATTACAATGCTTCCAGGAACGGTTAGGCTGACACAAGATAATAGTCCACAGAGGTGGAAGACAGGTGTAAATAAAACTGAAGGTAACGAGAAACCAGGTAAACAAGAAAAGAAGGTTAATTCGGAGTGCAATTCCTAACACGTTGGTACCGTGGTATTTACAACAACAATCAACGCTTTCCATTTTCTCAACAGGTTCTGCCTCACCATAAAGAATAGAAGAACAATCTGTCTTCCAAAAAAGTGTCCAAAATAACAATAAAAGTACTGCCACGATCCTTAAAAAGGATATGCAGCCAACGCATTTGTGTGTCTGTCATTTACTCAGTATATACCAAACCTATGGTAAGTTCATTTTTTGGTAAACACAGTCGGTTAGTCGGGTATTCATGCAATTTTCCACTGTTTTGAACAGGTTATTATTTTAGGTAAATTTTAAGAACAGGTCGTTGAGGTGGAACAGAAGATCATTATTAGAAATAATAACCTACTGTTTCAATTCAGTGACCATAATAATAACCTGCTGGTCCTAAAACTATGGAAAAGTAGCCCCTCGGTCATTATTCTTAAAAAGGTCTCGAGGCTTAACGATTAAGTTATATTTCTTTTCTTGTTGCATCTTTCTTTCCAATAATTTTAATGTGAGTTTTTTCGTCACTCTGACAATTCTGGTTTGGTATATACACCAAGACAACATGTTGTATTTAGTTATAAATTAAGCAAATTCAGTCCTAACCCACAAAAATATCACAATCTAAAAGAAGTTTACGCTTTTGAATTCAGTAAGCAGGTACAGTTTCGTAAACAAAACGGAACCTTACCAAGAGCTAAATTCCTCAGCGTAAACCAACAACAAAAAAGGAATCAAAAGACCGCCAGCAACCAAATATACAAAAAAATCAACAGAGCACAAAAGGTAAGTGAAAAAGGTAAGTATCAAGGAAAGTTTATCTATACTGGTTTTTATTACTAAGCCCTGGGGACTAAGTGCTCCGCCCAGAGGGGGGAGAGCCCTGGGGACTAAGTGCTCCGCCCAGAGGGGGGAGAGCCCTGGGGACTAAGTGCTCCGCCCAGAGGGGGGAGAGCCCTGGGGACTAAGTGCTCCGCCCAGAGGGGGGAGAGCCCTGGGGACTAAGTGCTCCGCCCAGAGGGGGGAGAGCCCTGGGGACTAAGTGCTCCGCCCAGAGGGGGGAGAGCCCTGGGGACTAAGTGCTCCGCCCAGAGGGGGGAGAGCCCTGGGGACTAAGTGCTCCGCCCAGAGGGGGGAGAGCCCTGGGGACTAAGTGCTCCGCCCAGAGGGGAGAGCCCTGGGGACTAAGTGCTCCCCCCAGAGGGGAGAGCCCTGGGGACTAAGTGCTCCGCCCAGAGGGGAGAGCCCTGGGGACTAAGTGCTCCGCCCAGAGGGGGGAGAGCCCTGGGGACTAAGTGCTCCGCCCAGAGGGGAGAGCCCTGGGGACTAAGTGCTCCGCCCAGAGGGGAGAGCCCTGGGGACTAAGTGCTCCGCCCAGAGGGGGGGGAGCCCTGGGGACTAAGTGCTCCGCCCAGAGGGGGGGGAGCCCTGGGGACTAAGTGCTCCGCCCAGAGGGGGGGGAGCCCTGGGGACTAGGTGCTCCGCCCAGAGGGGGGGGAGCCCTGGGGACTAAGTGCTCCGCCCAGAGGGGGAGAGCCCTGGGGACTAAGTGCTCCGCCCAGAGGGGAGAGCCCTGGGGACTAAGTGCTCCGCCCAGAGGGGAGAGCCCTGGGGACTAAGTGCTCCGCCCAGAGGGGGAGAGCCCTGGGGACTAAGTGCTCCGCCCAGAGGGGAGAGCCCTGGGGACTAAGTGCTCCGCCCAGAGGGGAGAGCCCTGGGGACTAAGTGCTCCGCCCAGAGGGGGAGAGCCCTGGGGACTAAGTGCTCCGCCCAGAGGGGGAGAGCCCTGGGGACTAAGTGCTCCGCCCAGAGGGGAGAGCCCTGGGGACTAAGTGCTCCGCCCAGAGGGGAGAGCCCTGGGGACTAAGTGCTCCGCCCAGAGGGGAGAGCCCTGGGACTAAGTGCTCCGCCCAGAGGGGAGAGCCCTGGGGACTAAGTGCTCCGCCCAGAGGGGGAGAGCCCTGGGGACTAAGTGCTCCGCCCAGAGGGGGGAGAGCCCTGGGGACTAAGTGCTCCGCCCAGAGGGGGGAGAGCCCTGGGGACTAAGTGCTCCGCCCAGAGGGGGGAGAGCCCTGGGGACTAAGTGCTCCGCCCAGAGGGGGGAGAGCCCTGGGGACTAAGTGCTCCGTGCTCCGCCCAGACAAATTTAAAAAGAAAGAAATATGAACGGAAACAACAAAAATTAATTATACGACATTAATTACCTAATCCTGATTGGATTTTTGACTCATGAACTTTTTTCGTTTTTGAAACATTAGATAGGCATATTTGGCTATAATATGTATAATATGACAGTGATAGGTGCTGATGGGTAGTGATCCATAGTTATTTTGGGTGACACATAGTTTCATGTTTCATTAACATATTTTATGCGGATTTAGGAGACCATAAACCATAGTGTTGGTCCCCAGTCTACTCTCAGCCGTGAAAAATTAACATGGCGGAACAGTTGTAGCAACTGAGAAAGCCGGGGGTCGTCAAGCTGAATTTATTACGATTTTCCTGCTCAGGGAAAACAATGGATGAATATCTGATAAAGCCTCAAGGTTTTTCCTTACTAACAAGAGGTTTGCGGCATATCATGTTCACGGTGAGTGCTGTTTAGCGAATAATTGGCTCGATAATAAACTTCCTTAATCGTGGCAATCAACGAGCTAAATTTTGTAAGTAAGTAAACAAATGAACACAGCCTTCTTCATTCAATATGCTTGCTTTGTCAAAGCTATGTGCGAGGTTTCCTCACTTGGTGGTATTGTCTAGGAAAACACCTCCAAATAAGCCAGTACACTGATTTGAACGGTTCGGTTAATTAATTAAACGAGATTTGCGTGTCAAATTGAATGTTCACTTGATGATATTATGATTAACCATGAACATGGAATACGATTCTTTTTTAAAAAAACCCTGTCACTCCTACAGATCGAGTGATATTATTAGTTGCTCCAACTTTTTAATCTGTGAATGAAAGCCTATGGTGCTAATAACTTGTTTTTGCATGTGATAGGAGTATTTCTTTCTTAAACTTATAAGGATTTGGTGAATTTTAGTACACAATACAATTCAATACCCTTTATTTAACATGGTCAATGTTCTTAGCTAATTAGCTACTTTACAGACATGCCACGAAAAATAAATAAATAAACTAGAAATAATAATAGAAAGAGAAGATTTCTCATAAAAACCTATATAAAAATATATATATATATATATATATATAGGAAGTCTGTGTTTCGATTTTTCCGTAGTAGAGTGCTCAATACGTTAAAGTAGAGCGTGATATAAATATTGGAAGTAGGAAGAGTGAGAGATCACGAAACAGGCTTGTCGGGATGAAAGTGTAGTTTTTTTCCTACTTCCAATATTTATATATATATATATATATATATAAATTATTAAAACTATGAGTAGATCACGAGATTATTACATAATGATGTTAAAACTAAGCAAAATGTATTTACATGTATTTGCACGATTAAAATGTAAAATTTGAGAAATCCAACTTAGACATTAAGTTCTTAAATGTTCCGATATTATTAGCGGCCCAAAACTGATCCAGAAGAGCGTTCCAAATCTTAGCTGCAGTATAACGCCACGATTTAAGTCCATAGGTGGTAGTGAAAAAGTTCACGTATTTGCAACCTCCCTAGCTTTGAGGCCGTTGTTTTGGTCATTGAACAATTAACTGTTGGGACAGTCATCGTAAGTTTAGTTAAATAGATGTGTTGTAGTTGATTTTTTATCTCAGGTAATTTTTCTTTTTCTTTTGTTTCTTCTTTAATTAGCATACATTACCATACCCAAAAACAAAAGAAAAATAAAAATTACCTGAGATAAAACGTTAACTACAACAGATGCCTTGAATCATGTTGAATTCAAGAATACTGCAAAATTGAAATAAATAATTGTTGTTGTTGTATGGTCATCCTGATGCTGAAAGGTCTAGCAAGCTGATGCAGGATGGATGCCAATGATGCACCCCTTCTCTTTACCCTTGAGATCTATGGAGCAAATTTTGTCACTCCTGGACGGTACTTCCTTATACTGAAAATAACTGGAAGTAAAGTTAATCCCCGAGCATTGAAGCTCTATGTAGGAGATTCTAAAGTTCCACTGAATGATAATGAGTTTACCACTGATGCATGTCTAGAGGATGGAGATCCTGAAACTTTGGCAACATTCACAGACTCAGTGATCTCATTTTTGATGCCACCAGGTAATTTTGTAACTTATTTGTTAACTGTTAAACTAAAATGGTTCATTTCATGTTAGTCGCGCAGTAGTCAATAATGATAAAACAGGGGCGGATCTAGGGGGAGGGTGCAGGGGGTGTGCAGCCCCCCTCCCTGAGATGACCTGCGGTTTTCTAATACAACTGGTATTCTGCAAGAAAAAGAAACTATGTGGTTTATTGGTGTTGAAGTAGAGCAAGAGATCAGTGCACCCCCTCCTAAAAAAAATCCTGGATCCGCCCCTGTAAAAATAGGTAAATCTGATTTGATTGATACCAATTGTATTGATCAATCAGCAGAAATCAATGAAACACTCATTTCATTCATCGAGTTATCTTGATTTTCACTGATTTCATGAATTATATCGCAAGACACATCTGTTCATTTGTTCATTATAAAATGAAAACTGAATTCATGCAAACAGTAAATTTGCTGACAATTGAGTTACAATTGAGATTCAAAGTATCAAACAATTGTCGCTTTTTAAAAAATCTTTAAAAAATCGTTACAAAAATCTAATCTTTTCTTTAAAACCAGGTTTAAAATATTCTTCTGATAGCTGACATATTGGCCAGGTTTGTATGGGCACCTAGTTTTTAATGATTTAGATCTGCCACCCTTTCAAATAATGTTGGTGTAGTTCCGGGTGTAGTTAAATCCCGGAGTAGCCAATGGATAAAAATCGAAATCAATAAAAATTGTTAACAATCAAGTGATTTTTATTGATCAATAATGGAAAACGGTGAGAATCTATCTAGACTAGGGAAATCTTTTAGCCTCATGAATTTCAGACATCCCTTCAACTCAAGGGGATGTCTGAAATTCAGGCTAGGAAATCTTTATCTGTGGTTGTATTTCTCATGATACTTGCCTGTGATAATTGAATGTAAATAAACTGAACTGTTAGTTGTTTTTGTTATTATCTACAAAATAAAGGGCCTCAGAGAGAAACTTGTGTGTGTAATATTTTCCACATTTTTTATTTTCATGTTTGTTGATAAGTTGTTACCTGTATGTGGATGTGTTTTCTCAGCTGTTCATCTAACACATGCCAAAAAAAGCAGCAATCAAGGCTGTGCTCTAACGAAAATTATAGGGAGCCCAGAGCTCTGAACCTGTGAAATCTAGGGTGCCCAGCATATGATGTGTGTGAAAAAAGTAAGATTTTCTAGTAGCCCATGAGCAAAAGGTTAGGTGCCAGGGGCCACCAGGTTTTGTTAGGGCACAGCCCTGAGCAATGGTTTGACTTCTGTAATAAATCGATAAAATCGTGAAAAGTCAATAATATTGATTTGACACTGAGCAATTTAGTTTATCGATTTTCACCAATTTCCATTATCAATCGATAGAAGTCACTTGATTGAGCACTCAGATTTTTATCAATACCAATTTTTATGGATTGACTACTCCAGGTGTTAATTCATGTCAAAAACCCATTATATCAATACACAACAAGGTTCCACTGGAAATACTTAAGATTCCACTGGACTTCTTCTTTTCTATTCATGGGAGACTTAAAATATCAATCATGTTGTGTAGCATGCTTGTGAGGTCATGACTAAGAGAATCAGGTCATACTTATGTAATACATGTGTAGGGTGCCTTTCCTGGATCGTGGCTTAAAGAATGAAGTTTTTTTATGTCATGACTTCCAATAAGTCCAGTGGACTCTTCTTGATGATGACAGCTGGGATCTAGTAGGGTATATTAAACATTTTTGAAGATCAGTAAAATGACTTGAACGAAGATATATTTTTTTCATGTATTGTTAAGTATAAAAATATTATTGGTAATTTGCCTGAGTCTGTGATTTCATAATTTTTTATCAGAGAGTGCTGATGCAGACATTAAACTTCTTGTGGAAGCATTTCAGCTTCCAGAGAATCCCTTGCATGAAGGAGACAAATATGGTGAGGCTGTGTTTGATGTTTTCCCAAGAAAAGGCACTCTCTTCTCTGCAGTGCGACAAAAGACACCATCATCTAGAGATGCCCAGGAATTGTATCAGTTTGAGACTAATATGACATTAAGTCAAGTTGTGACAAATGAAGGGTTCAGTGCAAATGCGGGTGTCATAAGGGCTGCTGTAAGTTTGAAGCAAGACCAACCTAAACAAGAAGGTGAGATATATATACACCTTACTTGAGGCCCTTTTAGCCGGGGGTTGGGGGAGGGGGGGTTGGGTTACATACCGTAAAATTCCGAAAATAAGCCCCTCCATGTATAAGCTGCTCCAAATATAACCCCCCAAACTCATAACGCAAACAACCCTCCATTAAATTGTCCCTCTGAATATGAGCCCCCAACCCCCCGGGGGCTTGTACTAACTTGGAAATTGCCCCCAAATACAAAGCAAACAAAGCAAAAATGGTAAATTTCCTTCCAACTATATGGCTAGCCCAATCGATTTTGAAACACAAATTTCCCTCCGTAGATAAGCCCCTCATAAAGGGCCTTGAAAAATATACGTAAGCCCCGCGGCTTATTTTCGGAATTTTACGGTATACCCTTAATTTCAAATATATAGTCATTTCACATTTTGAGGTGTAGGCCATGTCCCTGTCAGTGTTTAACCCATCTTTATGTTGTTTATCACCAATTCATTTAGTTTTAAGCTGCTTATCGGAATTTCATCCCAACGGGACCTTATACTTGTAACAGAATTATGGGTACAAGCTGCGTGTTGCTGTTATTGTGTCTGTTACGATTAACTGTTTTATGCTAGTGTTTGTTTTGATGTGTCGTGTGTATTGCACTTCTGCAGCGATGTTATTTATTTTTTTCCCATTCTATCAGTGCTGTATAATGATACCCAGGAAAGGTAACAATAGTTAAAGCAAATTAATGGTCTGAACAACTGAAAAAAAAGTTTTTGAGGAGCTTACAAAAAGGGAAATTAGTTTTCTCTGCATTTGACATGTATATGTAGTGGCTCAATTTTATCCTTTGTTTAAAAGGTGACTTTCTTTTGTTTTTGGGTATAGCCAAAATATTTTACCCTTACTTAAGTACAGAGTTATTTCCATAATTTTCAAAAGTTACCTTACAATACTGGGACCTTTTTATTAAACTGTTGAACTCTGATGATACTTATCTTTAATTTACTATTGACAAATCACATCATTATTTAGACAGTGTATATACTGTCATGTAAGAATTCATGTCACTTGATTATCTAATATTATTATTATTTCTTTTTCATTTAGTTTTTGTTTTACATACCTTTCACGATACTGTAAGTAATATTACAGTCAGGCAAATAAACGTTATTGTTGTTGTTGTTGTAGCAAAGAAGCAGGCAGGTAGAGAGTTAGCCAGTATAACTGGGTCAGATCACAGAGACCCTATTGATGATTCACTGCTAAACCCCTACAATGATTCTAGCTTGCTTAGAAAGCAGATGAAAGCAGGAAGTTTAGCCAATTTTTGCCCTAGAAGTGAGTTTCTGGAAGTTAACAGCAGGGAAAAGCTATTAGAGATGGACAGAGATTACTCAAGTAAAGAAGATACCTCTGCAGGTGATGGCAATTTTGAAATAGAAGGTATTCAGAATGTATAAGCCTGCATGGCACCAGTTGTTCAAATGTTGGCTATGTGAATTATATCTATGTAGTTCATAAAGATTTCACTAGAACATGCTGTATTTACTTGAATAAGCACCGCCCCTGATTAAGTGCCCTTCTCAAGTAACTGCTACCTTTGAAGTTTTTGGTTATCAGTGCAATGTACAACCTACTTTTACTTGTGTCTTTGTGATGTTCTACATGGTGGAAAATAGAGCGAGTTGTCTGGAGTATAAGATGGAGTATAATGTATTAAATAATTTTGCTTTTTAATTTAATGACATTCTGTAAATTTCGTTGGATCATTATCATTAGGTGCATTGTGGAACCTCAATGTAACGAGGACCCAAGCAAGTTTATAGATTGAGGGTTTTCAAAACTTCAGTGACACTTACGAAACATTCATGTGAATTTTGGACAAAAGAAGAGTGTTGTTTGGAACCTTATTATTGAAGTAGCTAGTGGCTCTGGGTTTCCCTTGCTTCATCAGATTGCACCTGCTTTATTCAAGATCCCAACTTTCTTTGTCAGTAATACTGGTAATGCATTACATACTTGCATTATTGTTATGTTATTGTAGACAGAGACCCTGTAGCTCAAAAACAGGAAGATGCAGGAAGTTTAGCTAACTTTTGCCCCAGTTTAGAGTCTGGATTTGACATAGAGGAGCAAAAAAATAGGAAGAGAGACATAAGAGGTATTATTGGGCATGGAATACAGCTGTTGTTAAGTGATAGATGGGTAATTTTTTATGTACTTTTGCAAAGACTGCAGCTACTAAGATCAGAATATTTATTTTACGTAATTTTATATATTTTTAAAGTGCTTTTATACCTGTTGTGGTTGAGTTGGGCAAAGTTGATTCAGTGCCCAAAATTTGAGAGAGTGACCTACAGTTACCATCTCATCATTTGTTCCTGATACATATACAGTAACTTAAATGTTTTAGAGCAGTACTGTACCCTTTCAGGGGATAGAGTACATGTCTTCGTCTTCAGTTACGTAGATGGTAGTTGTTGACTTTCCTGCTAGGACAATAGCAATAATATATTAAACAATTATTGGATGAGGTTGTTGTGTTATCTGGAATGATCAAGGTTGAGGTAACTGTTATCAGCCAAGCTAAAGGCTGAGGCTGATGACGCTTACCAAGACCTTGATTATTCTGGATATCACAAAAACAAATCTAATAATTGTTTTATTATACGTTGTCTGAAGCGATTAAGGACAAACGCAGCATCGCATAGAACACAGTTTGACATTGCTCTTGGAAATCCTACTTTGCATGTGCAACCCACACATTACTAACTAATCTGCTAACAGATAACTTTATAACTAATCTGTAGAGTGCACTGATTTGCAAGATTAACTGAAGGCTCTTAGCCAATGAGAAGACAGATAGCATGTACAATGTATCATAATAATAATTTATTGTATTAGTGTTATCCCTTCATTTTCTCTATTTTAGCTAGACTAATGTACCAGGCTATAGTTCAGCAACAAGAGGAGGCAGGAAGTTTAGCAAACTTTTGTCCCAGTGTTGTTGTGAATAGTGATTCACCAGCCAATGAAACAGTTGAATGTAAGGTGAAATGGGAAGATGATGAGGAGGAGAATGTCATTTCAGTATGTGAGTTTCTCAAGTTTTTGCCAACAGCATTGCAACTTAATATCAAAACATTTCATAAAGCCCTCTATCGGGAATCTCATGAAAAAGTTGCAGAGATGCTTTCCATTCATTAGCCTCAATGAACCTAAAACTAAACACCTTTGAACACAGTCACATTATATTATATTTTAAGGAAAAACCTGAGTCTAGTTAGTTTTTTTCCATTATTAACAGTGGCTATTCTCCCTACTTTTATAATATTATGGAGTCTACCTCTGTTGCTAAAGAATCTTGTGCAAGTGGATTCAAATCACATATCTGTAATGTTAATTGTGAAGGTTTCCATGTCTCCTAGTTATCACCATCCTTATGGTTCATGCAAGTAACATAAGTCTGCAAATGTTGTAGGGGAGAACAACAGCAAGGAGAGTGCCAGCCTGGAACACATTATTTGTCTTAATCTGGTACAGAAACAGGAAGCAAAGTTAGCTAGCACTCGTAATTATAGTGATGGGGGAGATAGGACAGAAATTTTGGACATAGAAAAGCATTGCTCAGAGGAGGAACAAGATGGATTTGTAACAGAGAGGTTTAGAAGAGGTAACTTTGTTAACATTCAGCCTGAGGATTACTAGGCTAGCAATGGCAGCCCTCTTGACCATATAACTGACAGCCACAGGCCAGTCAGTTGAGATTACGTAGAACTTCCCAGGTTAGCTCCTCTTTGGTAGAGAAACAGAAAAGGAATAACAAGGAAGCTTCTTTGACATCTTACGGGCGAGCTCAAATTAAAGTGGTCAGTTCATCTTTTATGATCTCAACCTTTTTACTCCATGCAGGAACACCACTGTCTTATATCACTTCACAATGTCTGTTTCTACACACAATAGAAAAATGTTGTGATATTAGCTAAGTTATTATATAGAATACATATTTACGTAGGAGAGATCTCATGTCTATATCAAGTTGATTAAATCAATCATGTAGCCTTAAGCTTTCATAAGAAAGACGATCTCATGTATGGAACAAAAAACTCCATCCATCCCTTGACTTACAGGTATTGTCAGGGTGGACCAGCAAAAGGCACTGACATGAATTTGATGTCAGCAGCCTTTGATTTGGTTCATCTATTCAACAAGTCAGGTAAAGCTGATGTAATAAGGGCTAAAAAAGCTTTGAATTGCCTTTGGTGTCATTCACTTCAGCACTCTGATAACTCTCCTTGATCAGTGGATTGAAAGTGCTCTTTACACATGTTGGATATCTTTAGCAGAAAGAAGGTCAAATCAAACCTCATTTTCTTTCTTTCAACTTCTTGCAAAAAGAAGCAAAAGTTGCTGTTAGTTTACACCCAAAGTCTTGTGTTAAATGCAAGCTGCAGTGTTCTAAGTTGCTCGCGGGATGATTTTAGAACAAAGTTTTCTCAATCATTTGAGGGTAATTTTTGTCCCATCAGAACCAGAGGAAGACCCTACAAGGGAGCCAGAGTATGTCAAGCCAAAGTTACTTCCAGTTCCTGGTGATCCCGGGCCAGGGCCTTCATCAGCGTCAGATACCTCAACAGGCATCAGAACAGTGAGTACTTTCCTGACCTGCCAAAGCAAATGGCACTAGTTTTGTTTTTCAGTTCAGAAACATGTACTGAATTTGCACTACAGTTGAAGCACTGCTATGGACATACCTGCAATAAGTGGACACTGACTTATGGTCCTAGCAATATAGAAACATTGCATATCAGACCTCTGTTAAGAGCAGAATGACAAAGTTTTTAGCTGTAAGATGGCAAAGTTTTTAGTTGTAAGATTGACCACTCACAGATAGCTTGAAGTTGACTGTAACCATTAGTAGGGACTGTATAAAACTATGGGAACACAAAGAAAATAATCAGTTTAGTGAGCAAATTAACAACTCTCATGCTTATTTCTAAATTTTTTTGCTGTCTTTGCACAAATTTACTTGACAATGGGAGCAGCAAGGTAATAAATTCCACCATCTCTGTCTGAACTTGGGTGTGGTCTCCTCAGCTCCAAACTTAATTCCCCTTTTTTAAGTAAGTGGGCAACTTGGCATAATTGTGAAAAAGTTTGGAAGGATGCAAAATCTATTTGTCCACAACTTTTCCATTTTCTTGCCTTACCTGATGATCACTTCCTCTTGGCAAATATGTAATTTGAGGTGACTGCAAACAAAAAGTGCTGAACTGGTGGTGTTATAGACTGTAAAACATTTTGTTTTCCTTAAAATCGGTTTTTGAAGGAGACTGTGAGATTTTCACCCGCATTTCAGAAAAGAGTATTCTGGCCTTGAGAGTATTTTGAAGGAATTTTGTAAAATAGCCTGCCATAGAACTTTAACTTGCCAAAAATAAGAACTCCATTCATAGTTGGGTGGTACTGTTTAATCAGGGCTGTCACTAAAATTTGTCAGGTATATAAGTTGCCAGGTATATATGGGCAGGGAATTGAATGGGTAGGAAGTTCTTTTGCTTCTATGAAAGTAGCCAGGGGAAAAGCTCATAGTAGCCAGGGGAAATCCCTGGCCTTCAGCCCTAAGGGACAATCCTGTTATATAATTCTCTCATTATTCCCTTTTATATAGATTCAAGAAACTGCCCTTGGTTCTAATGTAAACAGCATACCTGTGCAGCATCTTTGTGGAAGCTACTTAGCAAGGCAAGGATATTGTGAAGTGGTAGTTCTTGCTCATGGTGCTCTTGGATTGCCAATGAAATCAGACGGAAGACCTCCTCATCCTTACATTGCAGGGTATGTGAAGAGAAGCATAAGATAGGCGCACAAATTTGGGCGATTTTCAAATCTTTGGGAATTTTATCTTCCCAGCTTTGGAAACTGTTACATGTTTGGGTGACAAAAAAAATTAAATTTCATATTTAATGTAAAAAAGTCATCTCTGCTCCATGAAACAGCAGGGAAAAAGTGTTAATGTTGTGGCCAAATAGCTGCGATTTTTGTGATAGAACTTGGCCAAGACTCAAGACGCAATAACATATTTAGGTTCTGTTGTACAAGAATGGCTAACTGTGTCCTATTGGCTGCGTGGATGCATGAAGCTAAACTTAACATGTAGCTCTTCCTTTACGGGCAGTGATTGTGGTTAGGTGACAAACGTGTACACATGTACATACAGTTCTGTTTATAAAATTACTATGGAGTTGAGTTACCTCTTTACAGGAAGTCTGAAATTGCTACATGAGTACCTGTATAGAACATTGTAGTTGTATATCAAGACAAAATTTGTGAATGTGATGCCGAGATGAAATAATGTTTATGATGATGATGACATGTTTGTACCTCTTTACAGGAAGTCTGGAATAACTACATGTACACTTTTACAAAACATTGTAGTAGTGTACTGTGATATGTTTGTACCTCTTTGTAGGAAGTCTGGAAAAGCTGAGGCGCAGAATCAAATGGGACAGTCTGTCACTCATGCCTCTATTCAGCCAACTCAGTCACCATCTTGGGAAGAAATACTGTTGGTTGAATTCAGAGAGGAGAATTCTAAAGATGAAGGTTGGTTGAGTGATAAATTCTATTCATTTTTATGTAATACTGTCCACGTACCTTTGTTCTTAAGTTATAGACCATTTGAAGAGCACAAGAAAACTCATAAAGAGATCAAACTTTCTGAGGCGAGACTCTCATCTCTTAAAAGTACGATAAAACGGACAACAAAGGCGTGCAGCTTGTTTTGCAACATTGGTGCAAAATGAGTTTAAAAGTGATGTTGCGTGTTCTAACACCCAGATTTGTTGCAAGACAGGTTTGATTCGTGGGTGGTAAAACGTTCAACATGGCTATTCAACTTGTTTTGCAGCAATGTTGCAAAACAAGTTGCACGTTTTTCGTTGCCCGTTTTTCCGTAGCTTAAGACTCTTGTCTCGCGAGAAACAAGACAAAACTGTTTACTGAATGCGATAAGCACTCTTTTTATGATGAGTTTTTCACTTTGCTCTTTTACAGTTTTAATCCTGCTGTTAGCTGACCACCCAAGCAAAGAGTTACTTACAGAGTACACAGTTCCGCTTGCTCATTTGAAGCCCTTTCATCAATATCATCTGGAGCTAGTTCAGGTATCCATATTTATTATCTACATACTGAGAAATACTCACCAAAAAGCTATGTCGTAAATTTTCTTATAACATATCTGAGATAGTACCCTCCTTCGTCCCGTGACATCCCGCGTGGATGAATTCTCAGGTAAACCAATAGAAAGAGCGGTGTATTGTTTTTAAAAATACACCACCTTAGTGTACACACACCCGTTGAGCCCTAACAGAGACCAGTCTTGTATTTTAACAAAAATGCCCGGCTGGTGGCTCAATCCTATGAATCAGTGTCTTGGTTACGTTTTTGATTCGCTTTTTTTTCTGCTGAGAAGAAAGAAGATTTAATTAATATTATTTCCGTGATTTTTTGTATCCTTAATGAAGAAGGGCGGAACTTTAATAAAACAGTGTTGATTGTCTTTTTGGTGTGAAAACGTTTGAAAAATGTAAATAATTTTGAATCCTACGACAGGTTTTTTCCTTACTTCGTTAAATAAACATTGGAGCCCTCTAGTTTTTTCTCTACAAATTTGGTGAAGTTTGACGATAATCTTGACCATACAACTCGTTGCACAAAAAGCTGGTCAAACTAATTTTCAAATGCTCTGTTAGCACATTTGTGTTAGTTGACTCACAATTAGTGAAAGAGTGCAGCCAGAGTATCTCCTATCTGAAAGCTTGATGATATAACTGTAAGTGGTAAGAAACCTATGGCGGACACGGTAACGCCACAAGAAGGACAAATTTTTGCTGAATTTCAATTACTTGTTTTCTCTGTTATCTTTTACAGCTGTACTTACTCGAACGTCCGATGGTCCTAACTGACCTTCCACTTTAGTGGTTATTAGCTTAATAACAAATGAATTTTTTCCCCGAAGCTCGGTCAGTCTGTCCCCAGTTTTTTCGAACTTCAATGACCCGGGTGACTCATTTTACATTTTTCCGGCTTTCAGCCCAATCCAGAACTTAGTGGTGACATTAGATTATACATCACCTTGATGATGAAGATGGACAAGTTACCCCTTCCCTCTGCAGGTTCCAAAGTCTTTGGACTGGAGGTATGTAATAGTCTTGTGTTGTTTTATGAGCACTCAAGTGGCCCTTTTCAGGTGGCAGTTGTGACTGGTTTGGTGCTGTGTCAAATTATGGGACAAGTATTCGGGACGAATTTTAAGCCAGTTTCTGCATAACCTAGTAATAGCCAACAGAGAGCGAAAACGTCAGTTAAAAAATGAATTCGTGCTGTCTGCTGTCCATTTTTCTGTATTTTGTTACAAAACTCTATTACTGGGATTTTTAAACCACTTAAATACTACATTCATCTCAATACTGTCTTTCAAACAGATTTGCAAATGTTACGTTGTACTGAATGGTCTCCAAGGTATGTTGTCCCTTTCTGTTTCCCTCAGGTATTACTTCGTAGCTTGGAAGCCCCGGTCAGTAGTCAGATGGGACCGCTTGTTGCCACAGGAAGAATTGTAGCTGATTGGAAGGAATACAAGTACTTACAGTTAACGTTTTCTTAAAGCCTTAGTCATCTAGCTCTTATCAAAATTGAATACGAAAATTGAAGGTCCTAAATCCGACTAATATATTGCATATTGTGAAAGTTCGTGAATCGTATATCTATAATTTGCAAAATTAGGTAATTTGGCATTAACGTTCATTAAGACTAATAAGTGTCTTTAGAATAGCAGGGTTGTGACTATAATATCATGGGTAACAAATTACTCCTGGCGCCAAATTTCAGCGTTAATTTGTAATTTCACAGTGAAATTACAAACTTGCTATGGCAACGTTCCGTATGTCTCAGTGCCAAGATGGCGTCAAGGTTTTAAAATATTATGAATAAAGATGCCAGGGCATTAAAAGATGCTTTAGAAAACTTAAACACTCGAAATAACACATCAAGAATAAGGTAGTTTGTCGAAAAAGTAAGAAAATTGTGAACTGGAGCCAAAATTTGTGCTCTAAACTTTTCGATACCGTACGATAAACCAGTAAAAAACCGACGATTGTAAGCGTAAATTGTCACGCATGATGTTAATATAGGTAGTGAAATGGTATCCTCGTGAAACTAGGGACTAATTGTACTTCCGTTTTGTCCAAATTCTTATAATTTCCCGAGCGTTGAAGTTATTAGAATTTAGACAAAACGCGCGTGAAATTATTCCCGAAATATTTCACTCGTCATCATTTGATTACACTTTCTTATTTCACGCCCCAACTACGTATACATGTAAGTAAATTGTACATGGTAGCTCGAGCAGAAGAATGTTCGTGAAGTAGATCTTCTATGTGCTCTTTCTTTGTCATCGCTAGGAAAAGTATGCTCTCATCTCAGCCCAGACCAGCTGGAGTCACAGTAACCACAATTGACTTTCCGTCGCCACATCCAACTTCATTCGCTGTAGCAGGAGCAATACCTGCACAGGAGCCCCTGCAAGTAACAACAGCTGGAACACCACAGGAACAACCTCAATGGAACCAGTCTTTGTTTTTCATTGGAGATGAATCCAGTTTGTTCACTGTTACTTCTGCTTTGGTCATAGAATATTATCCTGCATCACTTGGTAAGACATCTAACATGCAGCGAAATATTTCAGAATGATCTGATTAAAGGAGCTGTGTCACAAAATTCAGCCAAATTAGGTAATTACAAAATGCTCGTTAAATTAAGAGAAATGTAAAAATAACCACTCAAAACTTAAAAGGAAGGTTAAAAAACATAACAGAAACAACAGATGCCACGGGTGGGCAAAACTGAAGAAGATTGAGACAGATTGAAATTAGGGTTTTGAAAACTATTCAGCCTAACAGTTTTTCAAAGTTGATCTCTGCTGTTTGCAACTTCAAGAATAATGCCCAGGAGACATATTAATGTTTGTCTTGAATCTCTGAATGAAATTTGTCATTTCCATGTAGTTCTTTGCTTACTTTAAGTTCCATAGCGATTGAGGGCGAGTTATTGGCGAAACTGGTCTGCCGTGACACAGCCCCTTTAAGCAGCCAGCGAACGAAATTTTCACAATCCCCCCTACAACATTAGATTAACTTTTTCTTGCACCTACCATGAACTTGAGCGAATAATTCATGGCATCGTTCCATCTGAATAGCAGCGTCCATATAGCCAATTTTCGAGCCAAATTCTATACTGCTTGTGGAAACCCTAAAGAAATCAACCTTTAGTATGAAGTTCTTTATTGGTCCCTCTAGAGTCCGCATACCACCACGGACCCAAACTCAGCAAAAGAGAGGCGCCAGTGTAAATTTTGTAATCATTTTCTTGGTTGTTTCGCGCAGTTTTAAAACAGTTACTACTGCCTGCTGCATACGCAAAAAGGTTACAATATGTGCCGCGTATTCTTTGCGATGAGGAAAAAAATTGAAAAATTGAAAAAGAGAAAACGCAAAAAACGCGCTTACTGGGACGCACGTTTTCTTTCGACTGTGTGGAATGTGTTGCTATTCTGTTATTGACAAAATTGTTATATTTGCCATGTCGTGAGCTTGAAAGAAGAAAAAATCTGAGTTTCCGACGGAACTCCTATGAGTTAGGTCATATACTAGGTTCATGTGTAACATGCGTCTTGCGCAATGGCAGGAATTGTTAAAAGCGGCGAATAAATGAGAAAAATATATTCTTCTTTGTTACGAGGATGGATCTTTCATCAGAGTATCCAATAAACACAGCCTCGTTCTTAGTCGTCCTCGGCTATTTCGGGTGTGACGTCACCTGTCAAGCTTGTCGGGACACCGCCCTGGGGACGAGGCTGCAATTAACATTTTTTTGTTGTTTTGTTAGCGATGAGTAGAGATAGTTGGCAGCTGTCAAGCCCTGTTGGATACTCTTACCAAACACTGGATCAGTTGCTTTTATCAAGCTTGAAGTGGGACAGCAGTAAACTTGGTCTCAGACTGGACAATTTACCAATTGAGGTGAGACACAAAGCAGACTGATGGCATGTCTATCCATGGAAAGTTGAAAGTGTGAAAATGTTAGTAGCTCCCTGGTAGTATATGGGTTATGTTATTTTAAGAGAAGTCGAAAGCTTCGAATCAACAACGCAATCGGATTTTTTTTTCAATAACATCTTCATCATAGAAAGTTCTTACAAAGCCTCCATAGGCAGATTTTGCGAAGACAACGCAAAGTCGAATGAAAGCCCAAAACAACGCAGAAAGGTCTGAATCCTACTACCGGTGTTCAATTTGCCGCTTTGCATTTGGTCAATTCGGTTTTTAGATCTGTATGCGCCGTAGTCACAGTCGTCACGATGTCTTTGCTAAATGTTCTTAATATCCTCAATAGTTCACTGAGTTTTCGAACCGTCTCACCAGACGACTGTCGCGTTTCAAGGTACTAGAATCGTCTCGCGTGTTGCTTCCGGCGAGAAATGTGGGTGCATTGCTGCATGAGTCTAGTAGAATGAACAAGATTTTTCCCTCCGGTCAGCGGTAAGAGCATTCACCCAGTTCCCGGTTGAATGAAATCATGTTGGGATTTTGCTTCTCTCTCTTCACGCTCTTCATAAGCTAAATACTGTTTCTTTAAAAGAAAAATCGTATGGCGCTTTCCTAAAGTTAGAACTGGCCAACCAGACGGGTCATTTTGATAATTAACAGACTATTTTCTAAAGTCGTTGCTAACACCCATTTCAGCCCTGCGATGTCCTGACTAATAGTGGAATTCTCTTTATGACTGGAGTGGTCTGGTTGACCAGTTCAAACTGACGGTAGCGGCGCCCTTAGGCTTTGATTGATACGTGAATAATTCAATTTTGGGTCATTTCTTTTAGGGGTCAAACCTCAGAACAGCGATAGGTACCAGTCCTTCAGTTGGAATGGTGCTCAGACTGGTCACCGGCCAGGTATTTGCCAAATTATTCTAGTGACCTTTGCTTCAGCTGTTTGAGGAGTTAGTTAGTTTGCATTTCGCGATTTTATTGGCCTCTGTTTTGACGTCTCGGTCTTTTGTCTAAACATATACCACTAGAGTCTTCTAAGCCAATAACATCACATCTTTACTAACACACTACCGATAACGTCACGACTTAATTGACCAAGAGGTGAAAGAACAGAATCCCCACACCATTTACTAATGATACACTCTTTACTTTGACGCTGATGATGACTTCCGCGCAGTTTGTGGAAACATCAATCACTGTCATCAACAGTCCTATTCTCAAGACTACACTTAAACGGACGATCATATTTTATCTACCTTTGACATAACTCCAGGTTAATATCACGTGCTATAATGATTTTCATTAAAAACACTTTTTAATTTATCCTTTATTGAGCAAGCTTGTTCGGTCAAGGGAGCAGGATATTGGACTCTTTTTTGCATTTTTATCGAGCTCGACCTCGCCGTGGTCTATAAAAACGCAACAACAACAACAACAACAACTTGGTCGATATCCAACGATCTTGTTCACGGTTCGTTAGTATCGCGTATACACTAAATTCTATTTGTACCATTGATTTTTCCAGCGACCAGACCAGCAACTGACAGCAGCGCATCTGTCTTCATTGCCTGTCTTTAGGACGTCACCAGCTCAGCTGCAGACACAGCAAGGACAACCGTCCTATAATACTCATCAGCCGGCTGACACGGCAGAGCAGGTGCGATAATAATTTGGGTCCTTTTATCGAGATTACAAGTAACATGGTTTAGCTCTAATGTCAGGATTCACTTTAACATTCAAATCCGTTCTCAGTGCCTGACACCTGGTAGGCTCAGTCTCCAGCCGTGGGTGACTCGATGCGCCCGCGGTACTCCTCATCCGACGGGTCGGGTGGGAAGCACCGCGGGCGCATCTAGACCCTACTCACCTGGGGCCAGTTCCTAGAATGATGGTTAAGTTTAACCCAGGATTAAGCGAAATTTTAAGCACGGTTTTTTCTTGCTAAGAGCATGTAACTCAAGCTTACACAATACTGTTGAGCCTTTCCTCTGAGACACGGTAACGATTTACACAAAATGTTACTCTGAGCAATGCATAGGAAGGTAAATACAAAAAGAAGAACAAAATCTTAATCCTGGATTAGCGCTAACCGGCCTCTCTGGAACCGGGCCCAGACCAATACTTTTATACAGTTTAAATCAGTGAATAGTAATTTTCGCGTTTTGATTAGTTCTCGTAACCCACAAGGTATATCTGTCTTTCAAACAGATTTGCAAATGTTACGTTGTACTGAATGGTCTCCAAGGTATGTTGTCCCTTTCTGTTTCCCTCAGGTATTACTTCGTAGCTTGGAAGCCCCGGTCAGTAGTCAGATGGGACCGCTTGTTGCCACAGGAAGAATTGTAGCTGATTGGAAGGAATACAAGTACTTACAGTTAACGTTTTCTTAAAGCCTTAGTCATCTAGCTCTTATCAAAATTGAATACGAAAATTGAAGGTCCTAAATCCGACTAATATATTGCATATTGTGAAAGTTCGTGAATCGTATATCTATAATTTGCAAAATTAGGTAATTTGGGAATTAACGTTCATTAAGACTAATAAGTGTCTTTAGAATAGCAGGGTTGTGACTATAATATCATGGGTAACAAATTACTCCTGGCGCCAAATTTCAGCGTTAATTTGTAATTTCACAGTGAAATTACAAACTTGCTATGGCAACGTTCCGTATGTCTCAGTGCCAAGATGGCGTCAAGGTTTTAAAATATTATGAATAAAGATGCCAGGGCATTAAAAGATGCTTTAGAAAACTTAAACACTCGAAATAACACATCAAGAATAAGGTAGTTTGTCGAAAAAGTAAGAAAATTGTGAACTGGAGCCAAAATTTGTGCTCTAAACTTTTCGATACCGTACGATAAACCAGTAAAAAACCGACGATTGTAAGCGTAAATTGTCACGCATGATGTTAATATAGGTAGTGAAATGGTATCCTCGTGAAACTAGGGACTAATTGTACTTGCGTTTTGTCCAAATTCTTATAATTTCCCGAGCGTTGAAGTTATTAGAATTTAGACAAAACGCGCGTGAAATTATTCCCTAAATATTTCACTCGTCATCATTTGATTACACTTTCTTATTTCACGCCCCAACTACGTATACATGTAAGTAAATTGTACATGGTAGCTCGAGCAGAAGAATGTTCGTGAAGTAGATCTTCTATGTGCTCTTTCTTTGTCATCGCTAGGGAAAGTATGCTCTCATCTCAGCCCAGACCAGCTGGAGTCACAGTAACCACAATTGACTTTCCGTCGCCACATCCAACTTCATTCGCTGTAGCAGGAGCAATACCTGCACAGGGAGCCCCGCAAGTAACAACAGCTGGAACACCACAGGAACAACCTCAATGGAACCAGTCTTTGTTTTTCATTGGAGATGAATCCAGTTTGTTCACTGTTACTTCTGCTTTGGTCATAGAATATTATCCTGCATCACTTGGTAAGACATCTAACATGCAGCGAAATATTTCAGAATGATCTGATTAAAGGAGCTGTGTCACGAAATTCAGCCAAGTTAGGAAATTATACAAAACGCCCGTTAGATTAAGAGAAACATAAAAATAACTGCCTAAAACTTTAAAGGAAGGTTAAAATAACATAACAGAAACAACAAATGCCACGGGTGGGCAAAACTGAAGAAGATTGAAACGGATTGAAATTAGGGTTTTTGAAAACTGTTCAGCCTAACAGTTTTTCAAAGTTGATCCCTGCTGCCGTCAACTTCAAAAATAATGCTCAGGAGACATATTTGTTTGTCTCGGATCTCTGATTTCGTCATATACCTGTAATTTCTTTGGTTACTTTAATTTCCATAACGATTGAGGGCGAGTAATTGGCGAAACTGGTCTGCCGTGACACAGCCCCTTTAAGCAGCCAGCGAACATGAAATATTCCCAATCCCCCCTACAACATTAGATTAACTTTTTCTTGCACCTACCATGAACTTGAGCGAATAATTCATGGCATCGTTCCATCTGAATAGCAGCGTCCATATAGCCAATTTTCGAGCCAAATTCTTACTGCTTGTGGAAACCCTAAAGAAATCATCCTTTAGTATGAAGTTCTTTATTGGTCCCTCTAGAGTCCGCATACCACCACGAACCCAAACTCAGCAAAAAAGAGGCGCCAGTGTAAATTTTGTAATCATTTTCTTGGTTGTTTCGCGCAGTTTTAAAACAGTTACTACTGCCTGCTGCATACGCAAAAAGGTTACAATATGTGCCGCGTATTCTTTGCGATGAGGAAAAAAATTGAAAAATTGAAAAAGAGAAAACGTAAAAAACGCGCTTACTGGGACGCACGTTTTCTTTCGACTGGGTGGAATGTGTTGCTATTCTGTTATTGACAAAATTGTTATATTTGCCATGTCGTGAGCTTGAAAGAAGAAAAAATCTGAGTTTCTGACGGAACTCCTATGAGTTAGGTCATATACTAGGTTCATGTGTGACATGCGTCTTGCGCAATGGCAGGAATTGTTAAAAGCGGTGAATAAATGAGAAAAATATATTCTTCTTTGTTACGAGGATGGATGTTTCATCAGAGTATCCAATAAACACAGCCTCGTTCTTAGTCGTCCTCGGCTATTTCGGGTGTGACGTCACCTGTCAAGCTTGTCGGGACACCGCCCTGGGGACGAGGCTGCAATGAACAATTTTTTTGTTGTTTTGTCAGCCATGAGTAGAGATACTTGGCAGCTGTCAAGCCCTGTTGGATACTCTTACCAAACACTGGATCAGTTGCTTTTATCAAGCTTGAAGTGGGACAGCAGTAAACTTGGTCTCAGACTGGACAATTTACCAATTGAGGTGAGACACAAAGCAGACTGGTGGCATGTCTATCCATGAACTATTCTAGTTGAAAGTGTGAAAATGTTAGTAGCTCCCTGGCAGCATATGGGTTATGTTATTTTAAGAGAAGTCGAAAGCTTCGAATCAACAACGCAATCGGAATTTTTTTTTCAATAACAGCTTCATCATAGAAAGTTCTTACAAAGCCTCCATAGGCAGATTTTGCGAAGACAACGCAAAGTCGAATGAAAGCGCAAAACAACGCAGAAAGGTCTGAATCCGACTACCGGTGTTCAATTTGCCGCTTTGCATTTGGTCAATTCGGTTTTTAGATCTGTATGCGCCGTAGTCACAGTCGTCACGATGTCTTTGCTAAATGTTCTTAATATCCTCAATAGTTCACTGCGTTTTCGAACCCTCTCACACGACGACTGTCGCGTTTCAAGGTACTAGAATCGTCTCGCGCGTTGCTTCCCACGGGAAATGTGGGTGCATTGCCCGCATGAGTCTAGTAGAATGACGTTGTTAAACAAGATTTTCCCCTCAGGTGAGCGGTAAGAGCACTCACCCAGTTCCTGGTTGAATGAAATCATGTTGGGATTTTGCTTCTCTCTCTTGACGCTCTTCATAAGCTAAATACAGTTTCTTTTAAAGAAAAATCGTATGGCGCTTACCTAAAGTCAGAACTGGCCAACCGGACGGGTCATTTTGATAATGAATAGGCTATTTTCTCAAGTTGTTGCCAGAACCCATTTCAGCCCTGCGATGTCCTGACTAATAGTGGAATTCTCTTTATGACTGGAGTGGTCTGGTTGACCAGTTCAAACTGACGGTAACGGCGCCCTTAGGCTTTGATTGATACGTGAATAATTCAATTTTGGGTCATTTCCTTTAGGGGTCAAACCTCAGAACAGCGATAGGTACCAGTCCTTCAGTTGGAATGGTGCTCAGACTGGTCACCGGCCAGGTATTTGCCAAATTATTCTAGTGACCTTTGCTTCAGCTGTGTGAGGAGTTAGTTAGTTTGCATTTCGCGATTTTATTGGCCTCTGTTTTGACGTCTTGGTCTTTTGTCTAAACATATATCACTAGAGTCTTCTAAGCCAATAAGATCACATCTTTACTAACACACTACCGATAACGTCACGACTTAATTGACCAAGAGGTGAAAGAACAGAATCCCCACACCATTTACTAATGATACACTCTTTACTTTGACGCTGATGATGACTTCCGCGCAGTTTGTGGAAACATCAATCACTGTCACCAACAGTCCTATTCCCAAGACTAAACTCACCCGGACCATCATATTTAATCTACCTTTGACATTACTCCAGGTTAATATCACGTGCTATAATGATTGTCATTAAAAACACTTTTTAATTTATCCTTTATTGAACAAGCTTGTTCGGTCAAGGGAGCAGGATATTGGACTCTTTTTTGCATTTTTATCGAGCTCGACCTCGTCGTGGTCTATAAAAACGCAACAACAACAACAACAACAACTTGGTCGATATCCAACGATCTTGTTCACGCTTCGTTAGTATCGCGTATACACTAAATTTTATTTGTACCATTGATTTTTCCAGCGACCAGACCAGCAACTGACAGCAGCGCATCTGTCTTCATTGCCTGTCTTTAGGACGTCACCAGCTCAGCTGCAGACACAGCAAGGACAACCGTCCTATAATACTCATCAGCCGGCTGACACGGCAGAGCAGGTGCGATAATAATTTGGGTCCTTTTATCGAGATTACAAGTAACATGGTTTAGCTCTAATGTCAGGATTCACTTTAACATTCAAATCCGTTCTCAGTGCCTGACACCTGGTAGGCTCAGTCTCCAGCCGTGGGTGACTCGATGCGCCCGCGGTACTCCTCATCCGACGGGTCGGGTGGGAAGCACCGCGGGCGCATCTAGATCCTACTCACCTGGGGCCAGTTCATAGAATGATGGTTAAGTTTAACCCAGGATTAAGCGAAATTTTAAGCACGGTTTTCTTGCTAAGAGCATGTAACTCAAGCTTACACAATACTGTTGAGCCTTTCCTCTGAGACACGGTAACGATTTACACAAAATGTTACTCTGAGCAATGCATAGGAAGGTAAATACAAAAAGTGGAACAAAATCTTAATCGTGGATTAGCGCTAATCCGCCTCTCAGGAGCTGGGCCCAGACTAATACTTTTATACGGTTTAAATCAGTGAATAGTAATTTTTGCGTTTTGATTAGCTCTCGTAACCCAGAATATCATTGGCTATTCACTGTTTTGGGACAGTAGCCAAAATGGCTTCTCGTCTCGAGACACTTTCGGAAGACGAAATTATAGCGATAAATGAAGCAGCCTTACCATCCAGTACCAAGAAAGCAAGGAAATTTTGCTTGCTCGTGTGAACTAGTGATAGAAATTTTTTTCTTACCGAATTTATAACCAAATCCAAACAATGAACTTCACAAAAAATCCCCAAAATTATTGTAACAGCTGTCGGTTAAAACGTAATCGTATCAAAGCTCTTAATACTAAGTAACTCCATTTATTTTCGTTTTTATTCGGGGGATCTGATTTGGTAAAATAAAACACTAAACTGTACCCCTGAGGGTCGGTGCATTGCGCTAGGTGTTCTTCCGGATAATTGGTCGGTGAGAACTGTTTAAAACTTGCATAAATCACCTCACGAAAACACTAACAGAAAAAAGGTGCTGAGCGAACGAAAAGCGAGTAAAAACTTCGTCGTCTCAGACTAACAAATGCGCATGCGCGACAGTCTCTAAGTTCACAGGACTACCACTATTTCCTTCGCGGCGTGACACTAGGTGAATCCACCACTCTTCAACTCCTTTGCGGGGATAATGTACTTAATACTGTAAAGGTATCATTGAAATATAATGGTAACCCCTTTTTTTGTTTATTATCAGACCCCTTATGGTCTTCCTCCGATGAATGCCGTGAAAACTATTCTACCACACTTTCATTCTCTGTACAATGCTGGACCGACGTCTGAACCAGTCAAGGAGTATGTTCCATTAGCGAACTTGTCATCCCCAAATGTATCCACTCCGCCGGAAAGAGGGTGAGCGTACTTTATAATACAAGCAACGAAAAGGAAATATGAGTCCAAAATATAATTGCGGGAAAAAGGAAGTTTCGTTATCATTTCTTGTGCTTTCACTGGGTGCTTGGTTCTTTACAGTTTACACCTGCTACACAACGATGAAAGCAAGAGCCTAAAGCACAAGAGGATAAAAATTGTTAGTTTTTCTCCCGCTGGAACTTATATCTAAGTGTACCCTAGGTAGAAGAGGCTTTTTGTCTTGTGCGGCGGGGTGCGTCGTCCCAGGGGCGAAGGCGCTTGTCACTGTAAAGACTGTAACAGGATTAACTCAAACGATAGAGTGCTGGCCTGGAGAGCGGAAGGTCGCGTGCTCGATTCCCTGAAACGGACGGCCAGTACTTAGGGTGTTAAACAACTGAGGGAGAAGGTAGTTCCTTGTGACCACGTTGAAATCGCTGGCCCGTCTCCAAGTAGGAGGCGAAAAAACAGTGTTGTCAATCAGCACTTGCGTATTTTGTAGACGTATTCGATTCTCGTGGACGGTTGCCCTTCCGTGTTGACGGGATACTGCCGAGCCAAGCCAACGGCGTGTTTACATTCTAAAATAAAGTACGCTTGAAAAGTCTCTTGCACTCAGGGTATTTTACTTGTTTCTTTGTGTCGTAAGTTTAAACCTGGGTGATGCGAACATAACACAAGTACAAACACAAATACAAAACGGTTTTGCTTACATCGCACCGGTTCACACTTAAGGGTCTTGTTTGTGCTTGTAAACCAGCCCTATGTTTTATTCCTCTTTCAGAAGCATTGAAGCCGCTGGCAGTATTCAAATTCCTCCAGAAGTAAGCATTGTTTGATTTTTGTTAAAAATGCACAAGAAGAGCTAGTTATTATTATTATTTTTTGCCAGTGTCAAGCAGCTGGCGTTATCAGTTGGCAGTGTTGCTCTATTTAATGATGAGGCTCTAGGTGTAATCTTGTACAGGTGAACGTAGTGGGGCCCAATACTACCGTTACCTTATACCTCAATCTCATTATACCATATTCTTTTACAGTCGAATCAGGTATTAGAAAGTTTAGATTTATTTGTACCGCAAACGGCAATTTGTACCACGTTACCAAGTTTCCCCTTTACCTGTCGTTAACTGTTCATTATTTCTACAAAAAAAATTGGTTTTTTCCCGTTAAGTGAATTTATTTGGTACATTTTCTATTTATTCATTTCCTAATTTGAAAAATTTTCAACTTGAATCTGACGCTTGCCGTTTGCCGTGAAAGTGATCTTAAAATGTCTATTAGTTTCTTTTCCCGCTATTAGTGGTTTGCTTTTGTTCGAAAAGACTTACTTGTTTGGTTCCTCTCTGTTACCCCAGTACTGTGGCTAGCCACAAATGGACGAGCAGTTGACTTCCTCTTTCATTCTAGTGTCTTTTGCCCGCTCCTTCTCCAGACGTCTCCCCTTTTTCTGGCACGGCGCGCAGATGCACTAAGCTGTGTTTTGCACGTACAGTGTCAGACAAAAATAGTTGGCCGGACGCTTCCACCCAACGCTGTTTTGTCCCGTCTCCTTGTTCTCCTAATGTTGTTTATCGCAGTTAACTCACCAAATCTGGCACATTTATGTTGTTGTTGTGTGGATATTGTTCAGTGTCTTTTCAATCTTTGTGTTACGTTACGTCATTTGGTGGTTGCACCCGTCCACAACAGCAAGAAACTACCGCTCTGGTTTCCGCGTTTTAGGAGGTCTGGGTACCAGGTAGTTTTTGCCGTATCATTTGAAGACTGTTGTATTTATATCAACTAAAGGTCAGTAAATGTCTCTTTCAGGTCAGAGGAAAAATGGATATTAAGGACTTAGCGGTCATGGATTACCAAATGAAGGTGCAAAAATAAGTAAACTTTGTCACACTTAAGTGTTTTTGTTTCTAAGAGGTGTTCAGTAAATTACAAAGCTTTGTGAATGTGATTCATGTCTATACAATCATCAGCGACAATTACAGTTCAACCAGTTTAGGCACTTTGACGTTTATGATTCTTCTC